GTATCAAGAGAATAGAAAAATATTCAAAGTTTTTACCTTTGCATGGAGCGGCGATTATGAGCTTCGTAGATCCTGAGAGTGCTGGCAGATCTTGCGTCGATGTTTCTTCCCCGACGATCGCTCTTGAGGTTTGCAGAGGGGTTTCTTCGGCTTAAGCACCCTGGCTCAGCGCCGAGTAGAAAATCCGACCCCTTTATATACTCTTTAGCGTGGGAAAATCTGCTACTCTTTTGACAGTTCTCCAGATTTATGACAGTCTCCCCCGTCGTGGGTGACGACAATGCAGACATCGCTTGACCAATTAATGTTAAATTCGTCATCACCTAGGGAGGTGACTTACCATTTTAGGTAATGTTTCTCATCGTACAGATGACCTTTTTAGGAAATCTTCTATACTATATCCGCACCCTGCGGTTCTCCGGGGAGCTTCCGCGGTTGACCTAGACGACTTCGTCTTTCAAGGTCAGTTAATTGCGTTGTTTCTAACTTTGTCCGGGGACTATTCCTCGGACAACGGAGTGAAAATGGTAGAAATAATTAGAAATAACGGAAAGGGGAGAAGTCTATTCGACTTTTTATTCTTCAAAATCCTTATATGACATCCAGATTCTCACAATATGAAGGTTGATATACAAGCCAAACATAAAATCTTCTTCTTCTTCATGTGTCATGCCCAGTCCCCCAGACGTTGGCGATCACCAAGGAGAGGGAGTTCCTATCTTTGGCCGTTCTCATTACCTCCCCAATGTTTTGTATGCCTGTCCATTTTTTAATATTGTCCATCCATGATAAATGTCTTCGGCCTCGTTTACGCTTTCCCTCAATCTTTCCATTGAGGATTAGTTGTGGGATTTTGTATTTTTCTCCTCTAGTGATATGTCCCAAGTATGCAATCTTTCTGTATTTGATTGTTGACAGCAATTTTCTGTTTGTTCTTGCTCTGCTTAGAATTTCGTTGTTGGTCACTCGATCTGTCCACGGGACTCTCAGCATCCTTCTATGAATCCACATCTCAAATGCCTCCAGTCTTCTTTCTTATTCCTTTTTAATGTCCAGCTTTCCACACCATAGAGGAGAACTGACCAAATATAACATTCGGCCATTCGTTGTTGCAATTTCAAATTTAAATTGTTGTTGCAGAGCAGGGTTTTCATTTTTTGGAAGGATGTTCTAGCAGCTGCTATTTTGCATTTAATTTCTTTCCCTGAATATAGATTTTCTGTAATTATGCTTCCCAAGTATTTAAACTGTTTGACCTGTTTAATTTTTTTTTGGTCAAGAACAAGTTGTGCCTCTGTGTGGGGTCTGACTAAAAATCATAAATTTAGTTTTGTTTGCATTTATTTTGAGACCGGCATCAATTCCTGCTGAGTTAATTTTGTTTAGTAGTACCTGTAAACCTTCTAGGCTGTCGCATATGATTAGTGCATCATCAGCATATCTAATGATGTTAAGAATTACACTGTTGATTTTAATCCCATAATTTGGGTTCTCTAAGGAATTTTTGAAGATTTTGTCTGAGTACAGATTAAACAATAGGAGCAAAAGAATGCAGCCCTGCCGGACTCCTCTCTGTATTTCAATTTCTGCTGTTTTCACTGTTCCTAACTTGACTTCTGCTGTTTGACCCCAGTATAAATTTTGAATTATTTTGATGTCCTTGCCATCTAATTGAACTTGGTGTAGGATCTCTATTAATTTGGAGTGTTTCACACTATCGAAAGCCTTTTCATAGTCTATGAAACAAGCAAATATGTCTTTTTGTTGTTCATGACATCTCTGGAGAAGGACGTTGATACTAAACAACGCTTCTCTTGTTCCAAAAGCATTTCTGAATCCAAATTGAATTTCCTCGAGATCAATTTCACATTTTTTATATATTCTGGCGTGTATAATATGTAGAAATATCTTTAGAACATGGCACATAAGACTAATATAAACATAAAGTAACTAAATATTAATGCACTGTCTGAGGTGTATTTTTATCAGAAATGGCTCTATCTGGGCTTTTTTCTTGTTGCACTTGCTTTTTTCAACTGCTTGTAACTTTTTGTATTGTCAACATGGAAATTTTTTAATGTAAAAATGTTCAATTATAATCAAAGTTTACTAATATGAAATAATCATAAGTATACAAAATTTTTCTGTTTGCTATTATTGAAGAATAAGCTAGAGATTGATTGAGATGACATGCTATCTGAAGATTTTTGTTGGGGTTGTACTATTTTATTATTGCTATTATTAATTATTCTTAACTCTAATTTGCATAATGATTGCTAGAATGCCTACAAAGATACCTTTTTCACTTCTGAAAGCATCTCGTCACATTAGAAAAACACTTTCCTAATAAATCTTTTTGTTAAAGTACAAAAGTTAGTATACTTTTTTTTAATATCCAATCCAAAGGTTCATTTTCTGGGTAGAACCTAGAAATACTTGACAATGTTGTGAATATTTTATTAAAATTGAATGCTGAATTGAGTAAAATAATGGATAGATTGGACATTTTGGAATCATCTTATAGTGCTTTTGTGTCATCGTTATAGTTTTTGGAAGAATTATCATCAATAAAGAAAAGACTAAATGAATTGAAGTCTAGACAAACTCTTTTGGATAAAGGTATGGGTGAATTAATTTCTTATTACATTAATAGGACTAATAATATTGAAATAAGGAAGGATATAGCAGTGTTTGGTTTAAAAATAGACAAAGATATTGATTATTGTTATGTGGTTTAAAAATAAATTTAACTACATCTTCCTGGTACTTGGCTAGGTGGCTAGCAAACATTCATGTTGTGGCCCCAATATACCTTGTATTCACTTCCTTACAGGACATTGGGGCCACAACACAAATGCTTGCTAGTCACCTAGCCAAGCACCAGGAAGACATGGTGAAAGGAAAGCATACCATGGAGTTTGCAATAAATTTAAGGTTGGATGACTTTAGGCTGTGAAATTGAAAATTATCAAAAGTTTATTTTTTTTCTATTAGAATTAAAAAGGTTATATTAAGGAATATAATTTTAAATTAAGTTTGGGATATATAATAAAAATAAAAAAAAAGTTTAATATTAAATTCACTAAAATTACTTCTTTGTAGATTTGCTTTATCTTGCTTATTCTTGTAAGAAACTATAAGAGGTTTTAAAAGGATAAAGAAGGAAATTTGGCAATAAAATCATATTAATGGATGATATTTTAACAGTAAATAATAAAATCTAATGAATATGTATAAGTCAGAATTCCTGATTATAAATGTTTTTTTTTTATTGAATCAAAAGGTTTAAGTGATAATTTGAATAAAGGGATTAGGCATAAAATTGCTAAATTAAAAACATGAAATACACATGGCTTAGAAAACTATTGATCATATATATGTAGCATTTTATATAATCAAAATTATTTGCTTTTTCTTAGGTTTGTACGAAACCTGATGGCAAGAAAATGAGATGTCAAAACTATTGGAAGATTCTCTGAAACTGAAGAACTGGTGATGAACATCACTAACTCAACACCGCAGTGTATTAACAAAAACTTCAAACCTGTTACCAGTGTGTTCTCCCATGATGACAAAAAAACCGCAAAAATAAATAAATAGTTCGTTACTAACGTTTTCAAGCCAAAAAAAGGTTCTTCTTCAGGTAACATTGAATTTCTGATGGAATGCCAATCAAAGAAAACAAATTTGAAATTCGAACACGCGCTTCCTGATTAAACTTTCTTAGGCATGTGCACTCAACTATTTATTTATTCTTGTGTTTTTTTTTGTCATCGTGGGAGAACACACCAGTAACAGGTTTGAAGATTTTATGAACTGGTGATGGTTTTTCTTTTGAGAACAGACAAGCTACTCACTCAAAAACCTTTTAATGCAGTATATAAAGGTTTGCATTAAGAAGTTTTTGAGTGACTATTTTATAAAAGTGCAGTTTAGAAAAGAGTAAATATTAATTGAACAATTGAACTTGTTGTCCTTCATAAGGTCTAGCTGTGTTTGTTAACGTTACTTTTGATTTAAAAGAAATTGTGACAAGCAAAAAGAATTTATATCTGTGATTTTGAAAAATATGTTGTTTTAATGTAATGATGAGCAATATGTTAATACTAGTTTATGTTTTTGTAGCTGTAGAAATACAGGATAGGAAGGAAAGTCACTTAACACCTTTGCTACAGAATATAGGATGTACCCAAAGAATGTACAGTACATTGAGCATATCATGTAATGTGCATAACTTTGTAACCATTTAAGGTAGGTCGATAATATCTTTCAGCAATGAATTTAGTGTGAAATTCTGATCCTAAATGATGTGTCACATGACTCCCTTTCCATTTATAATTGCATTTAATATGGCAACCATGCATATAACATACATCAATCTGTTTCCCCTTTGGTCTAATGTGTTCTTGACATGAGCAAATTAACTTTGGGGACATTTTATATTTTGTAGCAGGGGTGATAAGTGACTTTCTTTCCCACTCTGTAGATTCACTATGTGAGAAGATTTCAACTTGTCTGGACTCCTGTATATCTAAATATGAAAGTATTATAATTACCGGTGATTTTACTACTTGAATTGGAGACTCAAATGATGATAAAGTTTATTGTATGTATTCTTATAAATTTTCACTGACTAATCTATTGAGAGTGAATTCCAGCAAGATTGTGGGCAAGCAACATTTATCAATGCTGATGCAGTTACTAAAAGGAGTCTTGTATTTAGGAATCTTGTCAAAACAAAGCTAAAGTACAACAGGAAAAAATTACTGCAGTTTGCTTTAGATAACGGTTTACTGATCTTGAATGTAGAGAAAAAAGTAAATTTTCTGGGTTAATTTATTTTTATAGCAAAATTGTGTAAATCAGTAGTGAATTATTGTTTAATAATAATGGAAAATTTAGTGGAAGAATTTTTTTTTTCTTTGATGTTCAAGACAATACACCATCTAATTATTTTCCCATTGAGTCTTCATTTAAGATGAAGTTAGATCAAGAATTCTTAGATATTGGCTGACAAAGGTGAAAAGATTTGTGTATTGTTGATTGAGTTCAATTTTATAATCTAAAACAAATGATTTATTTAGTCATTACAGCAGGATTTTGAATTATAATGATTCTTGTAAAAGTTGATTACAATACACAAAGTTTATAAAATGTACAGAACAATTACAAATTTTAAAGGTTAATGTTTTAATTAACAAAAAATTATATAAGCCTTGGCTTGATGAAGAATGTGAAACTTGAAGGACAGAATGTTTAAAAAAATTTAGTTTTTTTAATTTTTTATAAGTACGTTGTTCCAAGTACTTTACATTTTAAATTGAGACTTAAATTTTATATAAGCTAAAAATATTTCATAAATTAAAAGAGATATAACAATGTTCTAGAATAAATTGAATAGATATCTATATACTGTGCTTACTAATATGATCCCTGTTTTCATGTGATTTAATTTTTCTCCTCTATATATAACTAATAATTCTGATAAATATCACTTTGAAATGAGAATGAAAAGGGATACAATGGACAGAATTAAGATATTTTGGATGTTGAAGTAGTAAGATATATATACTAAAAAATGTTAGTACAGTATATGCTGTCTGGTGTTGATGAAATTTCACTGATTTTTGTTAAAAATACTGAAGCTGGCTTCATTTAAGAAAATTGTATGGAAGAAACAAATTTCGGAAGATTGGAATAATATNATATAAAATTAAATTAAATTAAATTAACTATTATTCAAATACTTAAATATACAGTAAGACCCCGCTTAATGCGGGAGATGCGTTCCTATACAACAAAGCGCTAAACAAAACAGCATTAAATGAGGTCATTTTAACATAGAGTAAATAGGGAAAGGGAAACACGCGACCAAAAATAAACAGATTTTACTTTAATTTTAAGTTATTTTTATATTAATTTGCATAATATTTTATATTTTATAAAATGCATAATATGTTAAATAACACATAAACATATGCACACAGAAAAGGAAAGTTCATTTTTTGTGACAAATGTTCTGACTTTTCTGAAATTCTTGTTTTTTTTTGCAATAAAGTCGTTTGTGTAGTTTCATTTGTCACTTGTTTTCTTTCCTTAAGCAAACGTCAGTAGCAGGCGATCGCATCCAAAATGCCTCGTTTTGCTTTTGCTCTCCTTTCAAAATCTGGATTGTTCGCTACAATTTGATCAACAATTTTGGTTATCATTACCAAAATTTTACTAAGGAAATTTGTAGAGAAATTCTTTGTGTTTTTCGTTTTCAGAATCTCTATTTTTCAGTTCTACATGAATTCCTTGTTCTTTCAGTTCATGAAGGTCATCCTTGGCATGGCTCTCACCAGAAACCTACTGTAACTCCTCAATTTCTTGTTTGTTTACTTCTAGTCATGTTCTATCAATTAGGTTGACAATTTAGTCAACCTAATGATAGGTTCTTCTCGTTGAGAATTCTTCAATACCTTCAGCCATAACTTCTTCCACACTTCGTTTGTGCATTTATCGGTTAATTTTTGCCAAGCCAAATCAATATTGCTATGGCATCCATGATTTTATATATTTTTTTCAAAATTGCAGCAAACAAACAGGAAAGTATAGTGCTATGATGAATTACCACCTTTTGCTGATTGCTTTGTGTTTGGGAATAATTGTATTATATACGAATCAATGAAATGCCGTGATAATTTGAATCAGTGTAAATTTTGAGCTTTGTTTTAGGCTTCAAGTAGACCACGTTATATCGAATCAGCATTAAACAAGGCAGCATTAAGCGGGGTCTTACTGTATATGAACTTTCCAAAGCCTGATATATTGATACTAAGCCAAATGATTGTCATAATTAATCAGGCTATATTAATAGCCCAATTAATTATGGCAATCATTTGGTTTAGTATCATATCCTTAAAGTCCAGCAGATCTTTTTAATTTAAACCAGTGTTTTCATTATTTTTAGTAACTACAACTATCTTCAGGTTAAATTTCAGAATGTTGTTTGATTGGTGTTCTGGTGGCATATGTTAATGAACTTTGTGTTTGCAGATTTATAAATTGAATCTGAATCTACTATAATGAGAGATCTACAAGATAATTTGTTAAGTCCAATGTTGTTTATGATACTTACTAATGATGCTAATATCTTTTAAGATTATGCTGATGATGCTTTTTTGTACACAAGGATTTATATATAAAGAAAAAGTCTCAATGGCATTACTAGTAAACAGGTTCTTCCTTGAATTTATTAGAAAATTCTATTTATTTGTTGTATATTTATACATATAGCAAATATATTGCTTTTTTCAGGAGATGAGAGAAGGAAAATAGGATTAAATCTGCTGCCCTTCATATTTGATATAGATTTTTTTTTTTTTTAATTCAAGAGTTTTATTTTTTACTGATTTGAAAAATATTAATTTTTTAGTTAAAAGATCAATTTGTCAGCAGAAAGTGAAGAAATTTAAGTTTTTTTTAATCATTTTTTATGTATAAAAATTAGTCAAATATTTACTATATCTTTTGTAAATTGAAAGATTATGCTTTTTATTATTTATTATTTGATTGTAAACTCAGATGATTGGCAATTTATGATAAAAATATTATCAGCTTGAAAATGTTATTTTGTAATGCTTCCATGGAGTTCTATGAGATGCAATTATTATGTATTAGCTAATATTTGTAATTTATATTTATTCCCATCTTGGGTTTATGTAACTTATAAGAATTAATAAATGAAAATAGAAGAAAATTGTTATGAAATCAATGAATTATAATTTCATAGTATTAGAACATTTTTCTAAAGATATAATTACTCACTGAAAAGAAAAGTTAAAATATGCAGAATCTTCTTGTAGATTTGAATAGTAAAAGTATTTTTTCCATTTTATAAAGAATTTCATCTATCTTGAAATAACACAGTACGTCATCTATCTTGAAATAACACAGTACGCTATCTTTCTTGAAATATGTTAGAAGAATAGTATTTTGAAAATCAGTAAATAAGAATTTTTCCTCAAACAGTTTTGTTTTCTCCAACACTTAAAAATTGGGATAGTTTCATTAAAATATAAAATTAAAAATAGTTTTTAATTTCTTAATTTTTGGAACATTTCTCATCAGTATAAAATTGAAATGATAAATCAGATATCTAATTTTAATTATGAAAAAATGGTTTATGGAAAATAAAGGTTAACATATAGAAAATTATTTTGAGTCACACTTAACAATTGTGCATTTAGTTGTTGTTATTAGTATTATTAAACCAGTTATTTTTCTCATAAGTGTGATAGAAAAATTTATGAAATATACAAATTTCTATTGTTATATATATCTAATTTATGTAAATTGCATAGTGGCATTGGGTTCTCAAATTATGCATGCATGAAATATACAGTTTTAAAAAAGAATGTGATAAAAAATCAATACACATTTATGATTCAAAATTTTGCATACATAACTATATAGTTATGATCTTTGCCTATTACATACATATCATTTGAGAAATATTAACCTTTAGGAAATCTATTACAATCAACATCATGAAGAATAATAGAATTCTTCGACTATTCTATATTCTATTCTCAGTGTCTCAACTTTAGAGAAGATTCATATGTACTGTACATTAATGAACCAACACAAAACTTTCCTTAACCAGTATACGTTTGTAATTAACAACATGCTCTTTTCAAACAAACTTTTAAACATATTACAACAGAACTAAGTCTCAATTGTCTAGAGATTTTTTTTTCATCTGTTTGAATTGGTTTGAATTTTACTTCCATCTATAAATTGTGTCTATATATTTCATTTTATACATATTACATTTTATGTGTTTAAAGCATTTATTAATATAGATAAATTTTATCATTCCAGTTTTAGAGTGTTAGTAGGTTTAAATTCATGCATGCAGAATAAAATTATGGTTTTTACCATTAGTTCAAATGGAAAAATGTTGATATTATGCAAAATTTAAAATACAGCAACTTAGACTGTAGCCCTGCATAATTTGAGAATTCTCTATATGCATATAATAATTTTTCTAAATTATTTTTATTATGACAGTTAAGTAATATGAACAATTCCAAGATCTTTAAAAATATAACAATAGAAAAAGTCTGATTTATTGGAGTTCACTTTGATAACAGCTTTTCCTAAAGCACTTTTGGGCAACCAAACCCATTGTCAGGAGTCATAAGTGAATTCCAGGATTCACTTATGACTCCTGACAATGGGTTTGGTTGCCCAAAAGTGCTTTAGGAAAAGCTGTTATCAAAGTGAACTCCAATAAATCAGACTTTTTCTATTGTTATATTTTTAAAGATCTTGGAATTGTTCATATTACTTAACTGTCATAATAAAAATAGTTTAGAAAAATTATTATATGCATATAGAGAATTCTCAATTTATGCAGGGCTACAGTCTAAGTTGCTGTATTTTAAATTTTGCATAATATCAACATTTTTCCATTTGAACTAATGGTAAAAACCATAATTTTATTCTGCATGCATGAATTTAAACCTACTAACACTCTAAAACTGGAATGATAAAATTTATCTATATTAATAAATGCTTTAAACACATAAAATGTAATATGTATAAAATGAAATATATAGACACAATTTATAGATGGAAGTAAAATTCAAACCAATTCAAACAGATGAAAAAAAAATCTCTAGACAATTGAGACTTAGTTCTGTTGTAATATGTTTAAAAGTTTGTTTGAAAAGAGCATGTTGTTAATTACAAACGTATACTGGTTAAGGAAAGTTTTGTGTTGGTTCATTAATGTACAGTACATATGAATCTTCTCTAAAGTTGAGACACTGAGAATAGAATATAGAATAGTCGAAGAATTCTATTATTCTTCATGATGTTGATTGTAATAGATTTCCTAAAGGTTAATATTTCTCAAATGATATGTATGTAATAGGCAAAGATCATAACTATATAGTTATGTATGCAAAATTTTGAATCATAAATGTGTATTGATTTTTTATCACATTCTTTTTTAAAACTGTATATTTCATGCATGCATAATTTGAGAACCCAATGCCACTATGCAATTTACATAAATTAGATATATATAACAATAGAAATTTGTATATTTCATAAATTTTTCTATCACACTTATGAGAAAAATAACTGGTTTAATAATACTAATAACAACAACTAAATGCACAATTGTTAAGTGTGACTCAAAATAATTTTCTATATGTTAACCTTTATTTTCCATAAACCATTTTTTCATAATTAAAATTAGATATCTGATTTATCATTTCAATTTTATACTGATGAGAAATGTTCCAAAAATTAAGAAATTAAAAACTATTTTTAATTTTATATTTTAATGAAACTATCCCAATTTTTAAGTGTTGGAGAAAACAAAACTGTTTGAGGAAAAATTCTTATTTACTGATTTTCAAAATACTATTCTTCTAACATATTTCAAGAAAGATAGCGTACTGTGTTATTTCAAGATAGATGACGTACTGTGTTATTTCAAGATAGATGAAATTCTTTATAAAATGGAAAAAATACTTTTACTATTCAAATCTACAAGAAGATTCTGCATATTTTAACTTTTCTTTTCAGTGAGTAATTATATCTTTAGAAAAATGTTCTAATACTATGAAATTATAATTCATTGATTTCATAACAATTTTCTTCTATTTTCATTTATTAATTCTTATAAGTTACATAAACCCAAGATGGGAATAAATATAAATTACAAATATTAGCTAATACATAATAATTGCATCTCATAGAACTCCATGGAAGCATTACAAAATAACATTTTCAAGCTGATAATATTTTTATCATAAATTGCCAATCATCTGAGTTTACAATCAAATAATAAATAATAAAAAGCATAATCTTTCAATTTACAAAAGATATAGTAAATATTTGACTAATTTTTATACATAAAAAATGATTAAAAAAAACTTAAATTTCTTCACTTTCTGCTGACAAATTGATCTTTTAACTAAAAAATTAATATTTTTCAAATCAGTAAAAAATAAAACTCTTGAATTAAAAAAAAAAAAAATCTATATCAAATATGAAGGGCAGCAGATTTAATCCTATTTTCCTTCTCTCATCTCCTGAAAAAAGCAATATATTTGCTATATGTATAAATATACAATAAATAAATAGAATTTTCTAATAAATTCAAGGAAGAACCTGTTTACTAGTAATGCCATTGAGACTTTTTCTTTATATATAAATCCTTGTGTACAAAAAAGCATCATCAGCATAATCTTAAAAGATATTAGCATCATTAGTAAGTATCATAAACAACATTGGACTTAACAAATTATCTTGTAGATCTCTCATTATAGTAGATTCAGATTCAATTTATAAATCTGCAAACACAAAGTTCATTAACATATGCCACCAGAACACCAATCAAACAACATTCTGAAATTTAACCTGAAGATAGTTGTAGTTACTAAAAATAATGAAAACACTGGTTTAAATTAAAAAGATCTGCTGGACTTTAAGGATATGATACTAAACCAAATGATTGCCATAATTAATTGGGCTATTAATATAGCCTGATTAATTATGACAATCATTTGGCTTAGTATCAATATATCAGGCTTTGGAAAGTTCATATACAGTAAGACCCCGCTTAATGCTGCCTTGTTTAATGCTGATTCGATATAACGTGGTCTACTTGAAGCCTAAAACAAAGCTCAAAATTTACACTGATTCAAATTATCACGGCATTTCATTGATTCGTATATAATACAATTATTCCCAAACACAAAGCAATCAGCAAAAGGTGGTAATTCATCATAGCACTATACTTTCCTGTTTGTTTGCTGCAATTTTGAAAAAAATATATAAAATCATGGATGCCATAGCAATATTGATTTGGCTTGGCAAAAATTAACCGATAAATGCACAAACAAAGTGTAGAAGAAGTTATGGCTGAAGGTATTGAAGAATTCTCAACGAGAAGAACCTATCATTAGGTTGACTAAATTGTCAACCTANATGGCAACGTCGAACGGTGCACACTTGGTAAGTAATCCTACAATTTTTTGTTTATAGCATAGTTTATATGGATTATTCCCAAAAAATTATACGTGTTTTGGAAATGTTAAGTCGAATTAGTCTAGAATCGATTAATTTTATGGAAGAAAACCTTTCAAACAGCTGTAGTCCGTAAACTTCACACTTGACGGGCTGTGATTGGCTCACGTATTTAAGGATTCCTACAACGCAAAATTTGTATAACGAGGAATGTATCTACGCATTATAGGGGGGTCTACTGTAATTCTTTCAATGGGAAATTGTTTGTTGATGTTCTTTTGACTTTGCATTGTTGATGTTATAATATTCATTTAGAATTTGTAACTTTTTTAATTTTGAAATTATGATTAGTGTATTTTTTTTTGTTTAAATATGATGATTCTGTAAATTATATTTTGAATTTTTATAAGTATTCCTACATTCTTTGTGAAATACTGGCTTGAACTTAGAACACCTAAAGTTGAATTACAGTGTATTTGGAGTTTACAATGCTTAAAATGTAATTTACAAGTATGTTTGAAATTCAGCCCCAATTAATCCAGATTTTCAATGTTTTACTGTAATTGATAAGTCTAGCAGAAAGAATGCATATTGAGATTCATCTCATTTCATTATAAAATGCAATGGTATTGTGAAATTATGATTATTGAATGTTTGACTACATTTGCAATTTAGTGCAATGACATTTGATAAGTTTCAGTACTTTCATGAGATATATATTTTAATTCAGTATACAAATATTCAAAGAGATATTTCAATTTTTTCTGTTATAGTGTTCTAATAAAAGGTGTCCAGTATTATGCAGCTGAACCAGCCAACTTGGGTAAAACATTTTTGAGATTGGTAAGTTTAAATTTTATATTAGATTTATTTTAAATTTATATGGATGATTAAATAAAAAAATCTTAAAAATGAATAATAAAAAGAATGACACAAAATCAACAAAGACAAATTTATTATTTGAGTTATTACAAAAATATTTTCAATTGTAAGTTGAGTTTATGAGAATGATGCAAATATATTTTAAAAACTGACTGTTAGAAAATATATCAAAAATAAAGTTTAAATGTAAAGGAAAGCAATGATACTTTTGTTAAAACATTTAATACAATATGTCATCTATATGACATTTACAATGAACATATAAAATTATTTTATTTTTTGATAAAGATTCAAAATGTCATAATCATTGAATTTTAAATTCTGCAAATAACTTCAATGACAACAGTTTTTTCCTAATTCATTCTCTTTAGAATATTGTATGAATGTAGTCATGTCTACAAATAAAGAGTTCATTCTCATACAAATATAGACACTCAGACAATGAACATTGATTATTATATCTAGAGATGCTAAAAAATGTTAAAACCTTTTCTTTCATAAATATAATTGATTTTTCTGAATTATTTCTATTTTAAATTTCTTGATTATGGATTATAACATTTACAAATAAGTTTGCTAGTCAATATGTTATTCAGTAATGCAGAAACTGCAATGTTGCCATTGCAGTTTCTGCATTACTGATGAAAATTGTTGAGTATTATGCTAAGAACTAACTTTTGCTATGTTAATCTGAAAAATTATATAAAATTTTAAATCACAGGAAATTTCTTTTTCTATAGGAAAGAGATTTTGACAAACATGTTACCTATTGTCGTGATGAACCTTTAGCCCAAGAAGCTCTTGCATCAGGACCATTGAAGGAATATTTTGATGTGAGATGCAGAAAATTTACATGATTTTATTATTTTATTTTATTCTATGTAAGATGATTAAAACAAATTTTTTTTTAACTTTCAATATAGAATTTCAGCAAGAAAATAAAGGATGACAAAAGTCTTTCTGATCATTTGAAACTTCCAATTCAGAGAATTAATGACTATCAGCTATTATTAAAGGTACTGTACATAATGCATATATATTTGTATTTTTAATTTTTTTAAATGAACTTATCATTATTTTTAAGAAATTTTATTTATTTTTAAATATAAATATTGGAATTAAACAAAATGTAGAAATTCAATATTTAATACAATTATTTTTAAACAGTAAAGAAACAATATATTTTCGAAGTTATTAGAAAGTTCTTTTTCAATATTATCAAGAAATATATTTTTAAGAGAAGTATGTCAAGAGTAAAATATATAAAGGAGTAAACAAGAATAAAATATATTTAAAAAAATTTTTTAAAAAGAGATATTTTCTTCACATATTTATAATCAATAAACAATAGACATATTTTAAAAATGTGTTATTTATTTTAAAGTAACACTATTAAACAATGAATTTATGATAATAAAATGATGATTATTTTTAATGATAAACTTCTTATTGTATTGCATTTATCTTTATATATAACAAAATGGAACAACCGAATTAGATGATATCATGTATAATTTAATGCTATTGTGAAATTTCTTAATCATCCTCTTAAAGTAAACCTTTCATTAAAGAAATAATATGAAATATTTTAGAAGTTATTTAAAAATTTAATTTAAACCATTTTGAAAAATGATTTATTATAAGATAAAACCATAAGCTACATAATGGTGGTGATGATAATGATAATTTAAATATGTGAAATATACTTAACAGATATATATAGTTTCTCAAGTGTGATGGTTCTAAAAAATTGCTTTTACCAACATGAAAGTTTTTGCTTAATGGAAAGATATTTTTATATCTCCTAAAAATTGAAAAATTAGACATAAATAGAAGCCTAAATATTTAGAAACACTGTAATATATCTCAGATCATTATCAGAGAAATTTTTTATTAAGTAAAAATTAGAATTTATTGTAAAAGTAATGGTAAATAATTCAAGTAATTTAATTCAATTATTTTTATATTTAGGAAGTTCTGAGATTTACTGCAAAGTTAAATGAAGAAACAGAAGATTTAGAGAAAGCTTTAGAGTTTATGCAAGCAATTCCTCAAAGAATTGTTGATTTAAAGTATTTAAATTCTTTACATGGATATAAAGGAAATGTCCATAAGTTAGGAAGGATCTTAAGAAAAGTATGTTTTATGTATTTTAAACTAGTGTTAAATAGCATAAAAATATTTAACAATTAACATCTATAGAAATGGCTATATGTTTAATATTTAAACGAATGAAAATATATATTTATGTAAATAATTATAATAATTTAATAATTCAAAGATTGTATAAATAAGCTGATTTATTCATTAACAAAATCTTACTGTATTATATATTAAATTATATTGCAGTAATCATATATACATTCTGTAATTTTGGTTCAATCACTTAAATTACATTGACAAATTTACTACAATTGAAAAAGATAATTTTTCAAGTTCTAAAATTTTTTGGTATGTGTTAATTAATTATTAAAATCAATCAATCTGTGATTTATATAATAATGTCATAAGTCAGATATGACTTGTTAATTTAGGTCCCCATATAACATTGAATAATAATGCAAAATATATTTTAAAAAATGTTATAGTTATATNAAAAAAACTGTTACATATTTATCTGGACAAGTTTCAAATTGCAAAGTTTTCTTACAATTTAATGGCCAATGTAACCACCATTTAACTTAATCACATTAAATACCTGATTAGGCATTGTTTCAATTAGATTCTGAAGGAATTCAATCTTAAGTTTATCCCAAGCATCTGAAATTGCTGCCTTGAAATCGCGAATTGTGGAAAACTGCCTTCCATTGGCATAAACTGTATGAACCATCATCCCCCAAAGATTTTCCATTGGATTCAGGTCAGGGCTTCTAGCAGGCCATGTCATCAGATTAATATTTTTACATTTAAACCACATTTTTGTTGGTTTAGAGGCATGCACAGGGGCATTGTCTTGTTGAAAGATCCAATTTGGTCCAGTTTCCAATAAATGATCTTCAAGCATGCATTGATACTTCTCTGAATTCATTCTTTGAGTTATAAATGCTAAATCTGTGGTTTCATTGAATCCAAATGCACCCCACACCATTATTGATCACCCCCCATTTGGTGTTTTGAAAATATTTGTGTTTTAGTTCTTAAATTGTGTCAATAATACTTCCAACCATCTGGACCATCTAAGTTGAATTTATTTTTATTATTGAACAAAACTTCAATCCATTCTTTGGACCATGTCATGTTTTTTGTGCTCAATCAAGTCTGTCACTTTTGTGCTTTAATGAAAGTGATGGCATTACAGCTTTTTTTCTGAATTTTAACATTGGAGATTTATTTAAAATTTGCCACACTGTTGTGCCTCTATAAGGCAAGTCTAATTCTTGTTTTATTTTATTTACTGATGTTTGTTTTGTGGAGCAAACCTTGATGATTTGACTACAATCTCAAAGTGTAAGTTTGGGTTTTGGACCTGTCTTGAATTTTGGTACATCCTTGCCATGTCTTTTTGATAAATAATCACCAACAGTTGATTTTGGACGATTTATATATGCTGCAATTTCTCTTATTGACTTGTCTTGTGATTAATAGGCATCAATCTGCCATTTTTCATAATCAGATAAATTCTTTGTGCAACCCATTTTAGAACTTTGAACAACATAAAGAATTTGTATTACAATTAGATATGTAAGCTAANTAAGTAAGTTGTAATAAAAATTTTAAGACCACAAGTGTTACATAAAATTTATAAATATATTTTTAAACGTTTTTATATATTATATATTATTAATAAAAATTAATTTTAATTATTTAAATAAATTATTTTGCTAGATTCATGATGTAGATATTCAAGATGTTGTTGAAGGTGATAACAAGAAAATAGCAATTAAATCAAAAAAAGGTGATACATTAATGAATTTTAAAGCAAAGTCTTTAGACCAGAAGCAAGAATGGGTTAAAGAATTTCAATCAAAAGCTGTTAGCCAAGGTACTATATACATATATAACAATAACATTTGGAGTTTTCTTATGTACTCTGTGTGTGTGTGTGTGTGTGTGTGTGTGTGTGTGTAGTATTATAATTATATGTTTTCTTTACTTTATAAACTTAATATGCTTTAACAAATTAATTTTTATTGGACATATAAATATGAATGAAATTTTATCATTTACATAATTTCTTAATGAAATCACGTTTTATTTTATAATAAAACTGCATAGTTCTTCAAATCTCAACATATTTTTTATCATATATTTTTTAATGTTATATTCTTATTCCGCAAAGACAATTTACAAAGAATGATTTGTTAATATGGAAATAATGTTTTAACTCTATTGCTATAAGAGATTATTTTTCTATATATATTAGTTAAATTAATGTTTTAGAAATAGCATTTTGGCTTCTGTAATAGCTCTTTCAAGCAACATCAGAGATCTTCTGTATATAAGTATATAGCAAAATTAAATTATTAATTCTTTTGAGAATTAATCAGTCATTCTTACATTTTTAGTTTGCATGTTTTTTTATTAAACTGATTGCTTTACAGAAATTGATGCTTTAGATATTATTTTATTGCATATAATTCTGTTTTTTTCTTTTTTTTGTTAAAACTATCTCCCAATTTACAGCTAGTTTAATTTCTTTTAAAAAACTTACATCTTGATTGTTTATCATTTTTTTATAATTACCTGTAAGTCACTTAAAATTAATTTCAATACAATAACAGTTTTACTTCTTTTTGTAAAATATGATTTTGTTTAAAAAACTGTCAACTGTATTTTACATTAATTATATTGCAATGACAATTATAAAATAAAATTCATGTGATATAAAATTTCTGGATCTACATAATTTTATAAAGCACCATAATTCTAAATTTGCTATAATAGACATTCTTATTACAAAAACATAAAATAGTGTTAATATTACATTTAGAATCAAAATTTATTTCTAATTTTTCTAATTAACTTTTTTTATCAAAATAATACTATAGCAATAATTTATTTATTTGTTTTAATAAAACTGATTAATAAAATATATATACAAATATACATATAGAAGGATTAGGTTTGAATATTTAAAAGGATTCTATCAAGAATTTACTAACCATTATTATATATTATATCTATCTTAGATATAAAAATAAATTATATAAAGCAATATTTAATAAGGAAAAAAGATAAAAGATAAAATCAGTTTTATCTTTATTATTTTTAGTTTTTTCAGGTATAATTTAAAATGCTCAAAATTTAGTTTATTGATGTTATTGAATTATTTTAAATTTTATCAAAAGATAAAAATTCTATAACAATAATAATGTTCTGTTTGATTAGAGTTTACTTTAATAACAAGTTTTTCTCAATTACTTGCTGATAAAAAGCCCATCGTTAGGAGATACACACAGAAGACACATTGTGTGTTTCTTAACAATGGGCTTGATTACCTGATTACTTGAGAAAAACTTGTCATTAAAGTGAATTCTAATAAAGCAGATTATTGTTATTGTTATATTTTTTAAAGAGCTTGGAGTTTTTTTTTGCATTGATTAGAGTTATTTTTTTCTTTCTTATTAAATAATATTTATGAAATTAGCTATTTTGCATTTTCAAAATATCATCCCTCTAAATACATTTTGCATCAAAATGATATGAACACTGCAAGATTTTTGTTTAGCTTAAAAGCTATTTTGATAAAATTTAATGAAGCATTTATCTATCATATAAAGTCATATTCTTGTTGTGAAAGTCACATGACTGGATATGTAATCACACAGTAGTGAGTAATGTGACATACTGCGAGGTGATCATGTGGGATAACTGAGTATTTCTGACACCATCTAGGTACTTAGTTTGTGCCTAGGTTGTGAGTATCCATATTGAGACTTGGAGTAAGAGAACAAAGGAGGAATTTGAGAGGCAACACAGAAGTGAATCATTCACATATGGTATTAAGAATAACTAAAAATTTATTTAAACATAAGATGATTAAGCAAGGAAAAATAACAAAGAGAGTAACAAGCTAATGGACAGTCATTTTCTAAGGTTGTGCCACTTCCATTTAGTGGAGAGAGATTTTAAATTTACAAGTATGAGGTGATAATTACCTGGAATCCAAATTGGTACAAGCCTTAAAGTCTTTGTGGAGCATAATGTCCTTTTTACTGCTTTTTGAAGATAATTCTTCCTGAAAGAGAACAGTACACAATCCCATGATAGGATTATGAGAACTTGTAGGAGAGGCTGGAAACTTTAAATCCTCAGAAGTAAGCAAAGTCTGGAAATTTATGGACAAGCAAAAAGATATCTCCTGCAATGTATGAACAAGAGAGGCTTCAGGAACCTTGAGAGGTGAAACTTCTCTTATTACTCCTATATGAACTGCACTTTTACAAATACCAACTTCAAAACCATCTAATGCAATGAAACTTTCTTTATTCAAAGTGAAAACGTTTGAATAAAGAAAGTTTTACTGCATTAGATAGTTTTAGAGTTGGTATAGGAATTTCTCATTTACTCTTTATGAAGGAGGAGAAGCGTACACTCATAACCACTAGTTGATCTCATTGTTAAAATATTAAATGTTGAGCAATTTTGACAATGTTCTGTATGGTTTCTAATAATCATTCAATCCAACATTTTAAACAACACTTCTGGATGAGTAGTGGTTTCAGGAAGTGTCATTTTTGAAGGAAACAAAATTAGAGATAAGATCTTAGTAACTTCCCCAGTTTAATTTTTTAATCTCAGGCTTGGTTAAATCTTTTTAATAAATAGTAAAATTCACAATTTCATAAATTATTAAGGACAATGGCCCTGGATCCTCACATTATAATGCAGTATTAATAAATTAAGTAGATATTCAAGAATTATAAAAACAAAATTATTTCATACAGATAAATAAATATGAATAGGTGATCAAAAGGATATAAAAATTATTGATTGATTCATTTTTATACTTTTATTTTTATATTTTATTTATTTATTTACCTTCCTTAAAGTGGTGATATAATCCTAAATCTCTTGTATATTGTGTTAAATTAGTTTTGATAATTTGTTTCAATTTCTTGACACTGTCTCACACAGGGTAAAGGTACTGAATTGTCTTTTGAACAACTTAGCAAAGTCAAAGCCTGAAATGCAGATGAACACTCAAAATGTAAAATTGCACATCAATTGGAGAGTGGATGTCATTAGTAATTTTCTCCCAGATGAAAATAATTATTGAAAGAAGAGGATGTCTTAATGTTTTTAGCCAATGTGAAGAGAGACAAATGTTGCATTGTGCTATCAACAGTTTCAGCTCTTATCTAAAATTTCAAAAGAATGTGACATAAGTGGTCATTTTTAACAGACCAAATAGAATTACAAAAGTTGCCACATTAAAATACAAGAAGGTAAAGATGACCCTTTTGAATGACCAACACAGAAGAGTAAGTTTTGCAACATGTCATGGAGGAAAAACTGTTATCTTTTTTAGATGAAAAAACAGTTTAATTTGAATGGTCCCAATGGATTCAAGTGCTGTTGGCATGATTTAGAAAAGATGAGTGAATGTTGTTTAAGAGATAAATGGATGGTTATCAATAATGATTTGGCCATACAATGCCCATTGGATAGGACAATGTGATTTTTGTTCTGGAAAAATGTACACAAAATCATATATACAGATGCTGAAATCAACTTATTGGACATAGCTGAGCAAATAGGTGATTTATAATTATATATTCCAACAAGACAATACTAGACTTCAAAAGAAATAGAAGACTATTTCTTTTGAAGTTTTGGTTTGCTGAATGTAATCTCAGACTGTAGCAAGTCTCCAAATCTGAACCTAATTGAAAATGTTTGAGGAAACCTTGCTGTTTATTGAGAAGGTCACAGCTCAGGAGTGTGGAGAAATGAAAGAAGCATTATTACATCATGGGTGCAATAATGGCTTATTTCAGTCACTGCATTCAGTAGTGTAGGATTCAAAACTTGTATGATACATATTTTCCAAACTGAGTTTTTGAAGTTATAACAAAGAACAGAATAGTACTCATTATTAACTTGTATATAATTATTTAACTGGTATAAGTTTATTACAATATGTTATTTGTGGATATACTTCTGGAAAACTAGTTGAAATAGTACAAATAAACACACAATTACTTGTAAAATCTAGCAGAATATGTATTCAATGAACAAGCTAATGGTTTTGACTGCTTTCAATCATCATCTTATACAACAGTTTCAAACATACAAATGAAATGGAACACTTAAACTTACAGGAATACAAAATGATTGATGATGTAATTAATGCAGTACAAACTAATGGAAGCATAAAAGGCTAAACAATAAAAACTAAATAAAAAAATTGCTAAATAATAAAAACTTAGATACAATATTGGAATAGATTATGTAGTGTAGAATGTCTGGACATAGTGGGCAGGGTTATCTGAGGATTAAGACATTTCATAAAAGGATTTTCAAGTATGCAAGATGTTCTCAAGGTCTGCAGCTGCATTGAAGTTCAAAGCTATCAATCATAAAGACAACTATGAAATTTCTTATCCTTGGACAACCCCACCCATTGTGTGTAGACATTCTATCCTATGTAATCTACTTTAGTATGTGTGTGTTGTTTTTTTATTGACTAGCACTTTATGCTTCTTTAGTTCATAATGCATTATGTAAATGACCAATCACTTTGTATTCCTGTAAATTTAAATATTATGTTCATTTGTATGTTTGGAGCTGTTGAATAAGCCTGACGGTGATCATTGAACATTGTTGAAAACATTAGTTTTTTTCAGTGAAATAAATGTTCTGCTAAATTTTAAAGATATTTGTGTGTTAATCTGTTATTTGTAGATTGTATTCATATCATTTTGATACATCTATTTGAACTTCAGTGTAAAATAATGTTTTTTTTTTTTTTTTTAATAATTTTAGAGCATCTACTTAATTTATTAATACTACATTACAACAAGAATATGACTTTATATATAGATAAATTCTTCATTAACCCTTGTGAAAATATCTTTTAATTAAACTAGATAAGATGTTTGAAATGTTCATATCATTTTCATATGGATTATACATTTTATAAAATGTATCAAAATGCCTTTGAATGTTAAAAGAACTAGAAAAGATCAAATTTAAAAATAGCAGAATGTCTAGAAACTAAACTGATGGTGTTTAAAATTCAAAAAATGATTCATTGAAACCTGAATAATGAAAATTAAATGAAAGTTTCTATTTAAATTGAGTAAAAGCAAAATTTTCAGTTAAAATCATATTTTATTGAAATATAACTATCCTCTTTAATAACATGATTTAATTATAAAACAAATAAATTTCATTATATTACTTTACCTGTTTTATTGACCTTGACCTAATTTTTAGGAATAAAACATTCACTAACTTTTTAATTATTTGATGATAAATGAAAATTTCAAACTGTATAAATTTAGAGCAAAATTAAAATTTAGAAATCTTCAAATTAAAATTAGAAAGTGTTATCAAGAGATGCGATATCTTCAATAAACTTTTAAATCATTAATTTTTTTGAATATTAATTCATTATTTGGACTTATAAGTAAAATTTTTACTTAACATTTCATAAAGAATTATATATTTATTAATAAAGCCTACAAACTCATCGTCATTAGAATATAATTATGATAATGATTAATTAAAATTAAATAATAAAACTTTTAAGAAATTTTTTGATGGAGAAAAAGAGATGTCATTTCACTTAAAGCTCTTTAATATTATAATAAACTATTAATTTTAGATATTAAGTGAAAAAATTTATACTATTAAATATTAATTATTACAGTAGAGCATCGATTATCTGACCCCCAATTAACCGTCACATCGGTTAACCAACCGTTCTAGTTGGCAAATTTCAAATCTCTGCTAGTGATGTGGCATTACAATATTTGGCTACGTCTTGGCTACTTTAATATTATTTTTGTTAAATTTTTGCATGTTTTAGCTGGCATCAACGGCTCAACCATTGAAGGGANCTTGCCATGTCCAATCACCAGGAACAACTATTTCCATTGCAGAGACAACCTTTCTTTAGAGGCTATGCCTCTGCACAAATATGTAAAACAGTTTAAAATGTCCACAGGTGACAATCCCAACACAATTAAAAATATAATATTTCTTTGTAGAAAAGGGCTGGCAGAATTACTATTTAATAAAAATTGGACATGGACATTGGACATGGCAATTGGAGATTGGACATGGCAAGCAAAATTGGACTCGTATCCAGATGTTTTACTTTTTATTAAATAGTAATTCTGCCAGCCCTTTTCTACAAAGAAATATTATATTTTTAATTGTGTTGGGATTGTCACCTGTGGACATTTTAAACTGTTTTAAATATTTGTGCAAAGGCATAGCCTCTAAGAAAGGTTGTCTCTGCAATGGAAATAGTTGTTCCTGGTGATTGGACATGGCAAGCAAAATTGGACTCGTATCCAGATGTTTTACTTTTTATTAAATAGTAATTCTGCCAGCCCTTTTCTACAAAAAAATATATTTTTTCCTTCTTTTCGGTTATCCGATTTTTTCAGTTATCTGACCAACCTGAGTCCCCAATTGACTCGGATAATCGATGCTCTACTGTACTTATATTATAACTGATTTTGGATACAATAAGCTGTTAATTATATAAAGTTTTAGTTGATATAAATGAAATCAACTTTGATTTAAAGTTAAACCAATAAACTAAACTTGATAAATCCAGCTACAAATTTATTGAAATAAAAACGTTTTCAATCAGATTTTACTGATTTCCAGTTACAAGCTTTTCAAATTCTTTAGAATGTATAATTACAAATTCAAAATAACAAAGTCATGAATATGAACATTTTAAGAATTAATAACTAAAATGTGATAATTAATAAACACAGAAAATTAAACCTTGTAAAATGAATTAAATTGCTCACCAGGCATTTGATAGGTTTTCTGCATCTCGATGATTGATGCAGTTGTGATCTTTTGTGTGCTTTCTAATTTTTCTAGAAACCCAATGTTATGTAAGTTAGAAGTGGGCCTAATTACTTTGTCTTAGTCCCATTGAACGTGTATGTCATTATTCTGTGAATAAGCTGCCAGTGCCAGGTTATCAAAGTTTTTTCTATCTGTATATTTATGTTCCTTAACCTTTTGCTGTAAATTCATACAGTGAATTTATATCTTTTTATCAAGGATTTGACATCAAACTTTCTGCCTTCAGATCCTTGATAAAATGGGAATACACTCACTGTATGAATACTCAAGACACTATGGCAGAGCTGGATTACATCAAAGAAATTGCCAGGAAACATGATTATCCAGAAAAGATAATAAAGCAATTGATCAACACTTTCCTTACATTGAAAACTGACAGCAGCAATGAACTGGAGGCATAGGGTAGTCTTAAATTATAACTACTCCTTCCTCAACATCCAGAAGAAAGCGGCTCACAATGGCAATGTATCTTTAGTATATCAACATTTTTAAGATACTGCAGAATGATAAAAAAAACTGCATGACTAGGACTCAGCAACTGGGATGGAATAAATCCCAGTGGCTGAGTCCTAATCATGACCACTCTTTCAATTTAAGGCTGGTCTCTATAGGTGCCACACTTTATAATTTACAGCATTGTATCAAGGAACATAAATAGACAGATAGAAAAAACTTCAATAACAAGTGCTGGCAGCTTATTCATGGAATAATGACATACACATTCAATGGGACCAAGCCAAAGTCATTAGGTCTACTTCTAACTTACACAACATTGAGTTTCTAGAAAAATTAGAAAGCACACAAAAGCACACACGATATCACACTCCATCAATCATTGATATGTGGAAAACTTATCAAATGCTTGGTGAGCAATTTAATTCATTTTACAAGGTTTAATTTTCTGTGTTTATTAGTTATTACATTTTAGTTATTTATTCTTAAAATTTTCATATTTGCGATCTGGTTGTTTTGAATTTGTAATTATACATTCTAAAGAATTCTAAAAGCTTGTAATTGATGATCAGTAAAATCTGATTGAAAAACGTTTTTTTTTTTTTTCAATAAATTTGTAGCTGGATTTATCAATCATTTTGGATTATCCAGTTTTTTCACCTGCTTAAATTTGATTTAAAGTTTTTAAGAAATTTATTAGTTTATAACTCAAAATAAATTTTTGTGAAAATTTTGTTCTTGTCTAAATTAAGTTAAATTTAATTATAAAAGTAAATTTATGAAGGTTTATCAATAAGTTTTATTCTATTTAATGTTTGTATTTTTCTTATAGTTATAGAAGATCTTAGTGAAGATGAATTTCAGTTAATTGAAGAAACTGTTACTGAACCAGAGGTTAAAAAAACAAAATTAGCTTCAGAAAGTGAAGTAAAAGCAACAGAAGAAGAAAAAATTCAGCAATCTGAGACAGATGCAAAAGTTGAAGTATTAGAAGATTTTGAAGCGTATGAGGAAATGAATACAGCAATTACTGAAAGTTTAAGATCTGGTTCATTAACTTCCTTAGAAGGTAAATTTGTTTTTTATTTTATAAATGTAAACCATTTATAAAATTGATATGGAATACTTGATATGGAAATTTAATTTATATAATATGACTATTTGTTACTTATAGTATCTGTTTAAAAGGATTAGAAACATTAATAATATAAAACTAAATTTTAATAATCTGTTTGATAATAAAATAATAATAATAATAATATATAAAATTTAGTTATAAAATATCAATAAAATTGTGAAATATATAAATAATTGTTAATAATGTTTTTTAATTATTCTTATTATTTTTCTGTGATATTATAAATTGTTTAATTATTGTACAAATTATAATAATAATTAAAAGCAATTTAAATTTAATTTTATATTTATAATAAAATATTATAAACATTTTGTTAATTTAAATTTTACATTTTTAAGATGAATCAAAATTCTTGATGAAAAAATATAACCTATTTTAATAGTAAAGTGTTAATAAATAATTTTAGCATTTTTATAAATTGAACAAAAATAGTATTTTTAGAATATTTGTTTGCTATTAAAGGGAAATTTTTAAAATATTTTAGTTTTTTTTAATAATTTTCTATTTAATAAATTTTTACTTTTATATTATAAAAATAAATAGAATTACACTTTATGTCAATGTACAGTAATTATGATTAACACATCAGTTTGTGGCATTACAAGCAGTGATTTTTACAAATCACTGCTTGTAATGCCACAACACTGATGTGTTAATCATATATTACTTTTATATTAAAATTTATATATAATTATTTTGTGTTATAAAATATATATTGTATTATTTATGTCTTAGATGATATTAATTGTAATATAAATTAATCTGTTGTAGTGTAAATCATTTCATTGTATATTAAAACAATATTTCTTATAAAAAATAAGAATTTGTTGTAAAATTCTTATTTTTTATAAGAAAATATTAAATAAGTAATAATATTAAGTAAGTAAAATATTAATTATTTTAGTTATTTAGTATTGAATTTGTGTATATATCTAGTTATTATCAGTTTTTTGTAATGTATTAAATTTAAAGTTTAAGATTATTGAATTAAATTTATTAATTCATAATGTATCATATTTGAATTGATAAACCTTATAATTTAGGGTTTCTCAAACTATAGACTTTTTGTAAATGATTAGCAACTTTTAATTAATGCTTTTAAGTTTTCAAATAGACATGCTTATAATTTTTTAAAATTTTGCTGCAAAAATAATTTGTTGATACATCAAAAATATTGATTTAGTTTTGTTTTGAAAAAAAATTAATTGTATCAATTCATAAATTGATACTTTTAATACAATTGAAATGAATAAGCTTTCATTTCTGCAGGATATTTGTTTTATTTTAAGCTTTTTATTTTAAATAATCACTCACCACACCAGATTAAAGATAATGACACACTCAGAACCAATTATGGTTGATAACAGAACAATGAAAAAACGAATGTTTTTAAACCCCTTCTGAGCTCTGCATCAGGTTCTTAAACATTCCTAGATGGTTATTCATTTATGGAATAATGTTTAAATTATATATTTAGAAATGATGAATAGCCTGATGCAGAGCCCAGAAGGAGTTCAAAAACATTTGTTTTTTCATTGCTCAGTTATCACACTGTAATTGGTTCAGAGTACGTCATTATCTTTTTATTTTATGTTTTATATTTTATTTTTGTTTTTATTGTTTTATTTTTAATTTTAAAAGATTTTTATGATTATTCTACTTGATATATAGATTAAAATTTAATTATTAAAGGTAAGTATGCATTTATTTTTTATCTATTAATATCAAAGAATCATTAGTTTTATTTGTGAGATTGCACAAATTAATTTAACATTTTAGGAAATGGTAGTAATAGAAACACTGAAAGTTTGAGAAACACTGCTATAAGGAAATGAATTTAAGTTTAAAGACATTGAAAAATTTTCAAATCACTACTATGATAACTGCTGCTCTGCTACTCTGAAAAATGATAAAAATATTAGAAATTATTGAAATATCATTTTCATCAAATTAAAATTATTGAAAAAACACTCAAAACATCTATTTATATTTTAAAATGTTATCGTTTTAAAAGTAAAATTATAAGTATTCAAAATTATTTTAAAATATTTGAGAACTAATAGAGATAAAAAAAAGAAAACTAACAAATCTTAAATGGACNGTGATCAAACACCATTTTAAAGTGCATTTTTATTCAACTAATATATTTATAAATAATATGTAGCCCAAAAAGTAGCCAAAGAGCCAAATTATGTCAAATTAAAAAATAGTAGCCACATTTGGCACAATTTAGCCAAATCTTGCAATGCTGGAAGGAATACTAAATAATTAATGTGCTTTCTCATCACACCGGGTTGTATATACATTGTAGACAATGTTATACAATGGTTAATTGTAGAGGGTTAGTGTAGAATACTAAATAAAGCTGGAGTTGTGAATCAAAGAAATATAGACCCAAATGTGGGGAAAGGAGAGAAAGGACAAAAGATAAAGAAGTGAAGAAAGGTTGGAAAATTAAGGGTCAATATTTGCATAATGGAAGGTCTATTTAACCTTTCTCGCTACTACTATTATCTTTTGTCCTTTCTCTCCTTTCCTCAAATTTGGGTCTATAATCCTTTGAGTCACAACTCCAGCTTTATTTAGTAATCCTTCCTCATTCACACATCTCCAAGTATTTGAAAATATTTCCTTTCCACTTAAAAATAAAATATGAATAAAGGTTTATGGCTTTGTGAAACTTTTTTTTTTGAGTTTATAATGAGTAAATAAATAAATAAAAAAATGAAAACATGTTTATTGGGCTGCATTGGAACTTGCCTTGGGCTGAAGGATGGACACCCCTGTTCTAGAGCAAAAATAGTTAGTTCTAAAAAGTACCACTAGATAGCTTTATACAGAACGTAACAATGAGCTACACAAGTTATCTGTCTAATGTGAACAAAACATGTTCAAAATATGATGGCCACCATTGTCTTCTACCATCTCAAAGTGTAAAACAGCATGTTCAATCGTTGCATGCGGTGTGTGCCTTAGTTTTTGGCTGTGCCTGGTAGGGTAGTGCTTGCCCTTCCGGGTTGCTGTCATCTGCAGACCCACTGTTTGTTAACCCATTGGGCCTAAGTGCAGGCAGTTCATGGGTCCTAGGTTGAGAAGTGCTCAACCACTTGTCTTTGTATCATTTCCTTTTGTTTTTATTATTTTCATGTAAATTTTGTTTTGGGTTTGTTTGTTACTTGGCAGCACCATTATCACCATCAGGTGTTTGGTCATCTGTGTTGCTGCTATTTCTATATCGCCACACCTACCTCATCAGAGACAGCCCCTTGTGCATCTATGCCTTTCTGGAATTCCCTTATATTCACTATTTGTTTATGGGCTATGCCCCAAGTTTCGTACGTTTGTTAATTTCAATTAATGGAACCGACTGGGCGCTCTGAGGTCTCATGTTTCACACTTTTCTATTAGTCTTTTCTTTTCTTCCTCCTTCTCATTTCCTCTAAAACTTTTCATCCTTCCTTTTCAAAGGCTATGATGAAAGGTTGGGCCTTCTACTCCTTTCCAGTAAAGTGTGTGCCTTGGAATGTTATGCATATGGCATGTTATGCAGTCTTTAAGGTCTGACAGCAATGTTATGGGATCATGGTAGACAAAAGCTTTTGAGATAACCACAGAGCCAAAAATTGCATGGATTCAAACCTGGGAATCTTGCAGGGCAGCATGCCACTATTTTGGTTTGAAAAGTGCCCCTTGGTGGTGGCTTTTGGAACTAACTTTTTTGCTCTAGAAAAATTCCCATCATCTCATTAAGGCATTTCCAAACTTTCATGACTTTTTGATGAATAGTTTTTGCTGTAGTTAGCTGGGAAATGTCAATCATGGTGAAAATTTATTACTCTTTATAAAAAATTTTAGTTTTTACATTAAAAAAGAAAGAAAATCATGATTTTTTATGTAAGTTAAACTAATAGTAAATATAAATTAAGTAGTGGAATATTGGAATATTGATAATTTTTGTTATGTATGACCTTGCAAAGAATAATTGTATTTAAAAGATATCAATGGATCTGAAAATTTTTCCTGTAACTTTTATTTATAATTCTTAACATGATCATTTGTGTCACTTTAGCATAACAGTTATAATGTATTCAAATTTAGGAACTTTGAAATTAGTAGAGGTTTTTAATATATGTATTTACATTAGTTTAGCAATTTTTCAATGAAATTCAGTTTTTTCTTTTACAAAAAATTGGATAAGTGAACATTTTGAACATTTTCAAAAAAATAATTTTTTTAGCAAAGTCAAAAAAGAATATGGAAAATGAATGATTAGAATTCAAATATTATCTAATTAATTATTTGAGTTTAATAATTTGAGTTGATAGTTGAAAAGCAAAATTGATACTTTTGGAATGTATGATTCAAATTGAAATATTTGAGAAATAATGTTGAATTAATTAATATTATATGTAAGTTTGAATCTGTTATCTGGCTGCTGTTTTTATTATTTTTCTTAATGATTTGGTCTAGTAAATGGATTTTTTTCATATTTTAAATGGTTTGGAGTTATACAATTTTATTTAAAAAAAGAAGTTATTAATATGTTATTTATTGTTATATTGTTTTAGTGAATTTTATTATATTAATATATATTTTACTATAAAGAAATATATCATACTTGAGATGCTACTTGTATAATGAAGAAACACAGTAGTGTAACTAGTTTTGTTAAAGGTGTTCAAGTGATATGGGTGCAAATTAAATAAGGGGTACATATAAATAAAATAATTTTGCGACAACAATAATAATGTTCACAAATTTTTATGTTATCAATACTTTAAAAAATACATATTTAGATCCAGTGAGAAAATACAGTGTCCCAATTTAAAATTGACATTTTCCAGCTGGCTACAGCAAAAACTATTCATCAGAAAGTCATGAAAGTTTGGGAATGCCTTAATGAGATGTTCTAGAGCAGGGGTATCCAACCT